TTGTATATTACTAGAATTAAAGAAATTTTTTGAGCATACGTTATATGTTTTGTTCTACGAAGATTTTACTGGGAAAAAACCCCGAAAAACCCAAATAACCCGAGAAAACCGAGATTGAAAAACCCGAGTTTTATTGGTTTGGTTTGGTCTTTAGATTTAATAACCCGACACAATTGGTTGGTTTGGTAATTGTAAAATCCGAACCAACCCAACCTATATATACCCCTAACATATTGTATATTATATACTACATAATGTATATTTGTCAAACCTAATAACTCACCATATTTTTTGAAGATTGATTTTCTCTAACTAAAATGATGCTGCGAAGATGGTGATGAATTGATGGTAGGAAGATATTCCTAGTTTCCTGCTATAAGTATACAAAGTAGAGAATGAAATATGAAATAAAAAAATCCCAAGATGGAGAACCTATTACAATGGAGGATGGAGTGAGTTTTTATGGAGCATTTATAGTAATAATCTATAATTAACAAAATTGAGAATTTTAAGGGAATAATAATGGATACGTTTCACAATCAGATCCCTTTTTAATAGGAACCCTGCGGTATTTTAGGTTAATATTTTATACATTGATCATGTTTATGTTGTAGATAATCATTGGATATTAACTACATGAAAAAAATTAATAATTTCTTTTATTTTTTTTATACCATTCTTGTTGGTGTCATTGGATCCTAAAAATAGTCAGGAAGCAAAATAATAACTCATATTTATGATAAAACAATCGAATGTTGAGACAATATATAACTCTTTGGATAAGACTTAACTCTTTTAGTACTACTTGAACTCTTATTTGGTGTGTTGATATCTCTTAAAAAATATTTCTTTCTTAAAATTTCAGTTTCTAAAACATTATTTTTCAATAATAATTATTTTTATAATAATGTAATTGAAAATATTATTCTTAATTCAAAACTCATTTTAGTTGGCTATCTAAAAATATAAAAAATTCTTTAGCTAGTAAATTTGTTTTACTCCATTTTGATATTTGACATTAACCATATTAAATATCTGAGTTATTTGAATTACATGTAAATAACCTTAATATTTAAACCTTCTAAATAATCTATAGATAATCGTCAAATATTAATTAAGAAACACTACATGAAAAAAGATTAATATTTTCTCAATTCTCGTAGTGATAATTTTATTTTTGCACTATTTCAATTCAAATTCGAATATCATATTAGTTTGTTAGTAATACTGATTTTTTAAAAATGACACATAATATAAATTAAAAAAATATTCAAAAATATCCTTATCTTATAATCTATATATTTGAGTTGCAAAACAAATATTTGAAATCGATGAGATTAACTTTCGAATTTTTATACTCAACAAAGATGAAACATAAGAAGAAATTTGTTGTCATCTTTTATTTCTCGTTTTTAGATCTTTCTAACATTTTTTTCAATATTTATTTTCTTTTATCTTATTTTTTATGTCATTATTTGTGTTGTTACAAAAAATTAATTTATTCCAATATAAAATGATGAGTTTTAATAAAAATTGTCTACATATGAACTTAAATTATATTTTTAGTCTTTGGTTGAAATTATTTCATATTTTTCTTTTGGCTTTATCTAATCAGCCTAAATAGGTGCCCACCCGACCACTTAAATTAAAAAATTAAATGATGTGTAATTTATATATAATCCATATATAGTATGTGTATAATCGTGTGTTGTCAGTATATCATCTATTTATATTAGCTATAAAAAGTAAACAATAAATATGGCTGGATAATTGTAATATTCCATAGATTTCGATTTTTTGAGTTTACCATGATATAACTTCTATTATAATAATTTTAAAACTCTCTACTAATGTTCAAAAATATCTTATCTTTTTATTATTTTTGAATTAAAAAAAGTAAAGAGATTTTTCGAAATAATTTGTTTACATTTTAAAAAAAATATTTCATGTCATACCAATTTTTTCTTTATATATACTCTTTGTTACATTTAAAAGTCGCTATAGAAACTATCAATTAGAAACCAATTTATCTCTTGTTGAGTTTGAAAAAAAAACCTTTCATATAATATAATGATTCAAAACTAATATTCTTCAACGAAAAAATATTATACCCTTGCAATATTAGCTTGACTACAGCTAAATGAAGGGGTTTCAGCTTATACCCTTCAATTCTTTAAATGTATTAAATTGAAATTAATGATAGCAATATGTATAACCAAAGTTTTGTTATTTGTTTGATGTCCATTTATGCAAATTGACTCTTCAAACAAATATTCTTCAAGAAGAAAAAAGAAACAATTTTTTATTTTAATATTGACTGATCTTATGATGTTTCTTTCTCCAGCATGTATGTTTACTTTATTATATATGTAAGTAAACTTTTATTGGTTTTGTAAACTCTTTTTTGTTATTTAGATAAACATAGACGTGTACCTTATATATTACATTTATTTTAAAAGAATTTTATTTTATTCAAATCTAGCTACAGTATTTCAAAGAACTATACTTATATGATTTTAAATGTGAAAGAGTTTTATAGTTATATGGAGTAGTTTTTTTTCTAGAGGCGAAGTAGTATTTAAATATAAAAAATAATNATATATATATATATATATTATACTATATTATATTTGTATTTAACTTAAATAGTCAAATATAGAATAAATTGTTACGATATACTATTGACATTTATTTAACCATAATATCAATTATATATGGTAACTTTCTTGGTTTAATCTAGATATATTATTATTTTAAAAGTTGTAGATTATGGAATTGTTTTATAAATCCATAAGTAAACAAGAAAATTCCCCAATGTTAATCACATGTTCAATATGGTGGACTGCTGGCCCACCTGGGGAAAATAAAAGTATAGCGGGTGATGCATCTAACTTATTGTGGTGCCATTGAAAGATGAACAGGATTATTTTTGGCATTCGGGACAGCACTCAGTACTCATTATTAAATAATTCGGCGAATGTTTAGAGTTGGTTCGCTATGTTATGCATAAGATGCTATGTGCTCTCATTTGTTCTAATAAAGCAAGAGCTCCTGATCAATCACGTATTAAAGTACTTGAACTTTAACTAAGCTTTTGAATAATATGGTTTTCACAATTTAATATGATACTATAATATATAAAGTCCTTAATTCAACTCTTATTAACACCCGTAAAAAAAGTTATATTACATAAGGGAGCATATTAAAACTTAAAATAAATAAAGTTAAATGAGCAGCTTTACAAGTCAATAACTTAAAGACATTGATTAATACAGTATATTGATGTCTTTAAGTTAGTCCTTAGTCTGAGAGAAACATGAAAAAAAATATTCAAGAGGGATTATCTTTGGACATAAGCCAATTAGACTGTTTTCATTATATTCTAGGAGAACGATTCTTATGGTAATATACAACATGGTGGAAAATGATTACTTAATGAACCCCGGATTACGTGAGATTAAGGATTACTTAGCTATTAATAACTATTTTCTTCTTTTTAATTCATGATTTATTTAGATTAAAAGAAAGTCATCTTATTCCTTCTGGAACTTGGATTTATCCTTAACTTTTCTGTTAAAGAGTTCTTTTCCTTCTTTCATAAATAAATGATTTATCAGCCTAAAAATTCATGAACTGAATTGGATTCTTAACCCGAAAGCACACGTTTAGCGGGCCCCTAGGCCCATTTCAGAAGAAACCCGCACTCAATTTCAAATATTCACACATTCTTAGTCGTGCTAATTTTCATACCAGCAAATTACACATAGACCCTTTCATAATTCATCCCCATAAGAAATATATAGTTGGAAAATAAATCAGAAGAAATTATAAAATGGAGATCTCGAGTTCGAGTCCTGAGAATAGATAATAGAGAGCGCTTTGTTCATTTTGGTGGGCCTACCCCGCTTGAATTTGAATTAGTCGAGTTAGTGAGTTTTAGGTATTAAATAGTTTTAAATTTTTTATTTAAAAAAAAAAGAAGAAGATTATGGGATAGCTTGATCTGCCCAATGTTTTGTCCGCCAGTTGTTTGGATCATCTGAGGAGGTCTTCTATGGAAATGATATATCAAAATTAATTAGCTTAAAGTTAGGTGACCATATCATATATTAATTAGACGCTAGAGACACTAGATGAATGATTTGCTACCTAAAAGAGTTTTAGAACGTCATTACAGTCTAATCCACATTACCTTTAAGTAGCTTTTTACATTTTAAAATAGAAAAAGGAAAATTTGGAAAGAGATTGAAGAGCTTATTTAAGAAAAATAAGCTTTCTCTACTTTAAATTCTTATTTCTTATTAGAGTATAGTGACGTACACTAGATGAATGATTGTTAGCTTGTCTCGTTTAGTATGAGGGATAAGGGATAATTAATCTCGAAATTAAATTTGAGATGAGTTTATCCCACGTTTGGCTGTATAAAAATCGTGATATAACTAATTTCGGGATTGTAATATTTTTTATCCCCATTGAAAAATGAATAACTAATCTCGAAATAATTAATCATATGATAACTTGTTTCTCCGTTTGACCTTTAGTGTGTTATAAAGGATTGGATGACACAAGACAACTCTTAGATACGTACACTTATTAAAATACAGTAAGTCATCTATAGTACTTCAGTTGACTGGTAGATTATTGGAAACAAGTGTAGCTAACTTAAAACAAAATAAAATAGTGTCATCTCTTTTTAACAATTTTAAATTTTAAATAAAGTATTTACATCAATCAACTCAATATATAAGAGGATTAAGAAAATTCGTAATTAGCATATATTAGGCATCTTTAGAAAAAATTAAACGGTATACACAAGAATAATGTTGAGGGATAAATATGGAAATTCAAGAAATAAAAAATAATATGACAAGACTTGAAAAGTGATGCACCGGCGAAATTTGAGTGCATAGATCAGCAAGGAATACAGTAAAGAACAAGAAAGAATCCACAACTTTTTCCTTTATTTGAGTATCAAATGGTTTCTTGCGGTGATATTTCTGTAATTCAATTATAGGAGTACCATTTTCTAGTCCAATCTTATCCATGCACTGTTAAAACCATTATTTTCCGATCCCTTTCTATTTTCTTGCTCTATAAATACAAACATAACAGAACAATCAATTTCTCAGATTAACTGACCGAGGAAAAAGAAAAAGAAAAAAGAAAAAAAAAAATGACAACTATGGTAATGATAATGAAGCCATCACATAATACAACTTCCACAGCAGGAGACTCGAGTTTTCACAGATGGAATTCTCCAGTTCCGTACCTTTTTGGTGGGTTAGCAGTTATGATGGGATTAATAGCGTTAGCATTGTTAATTTTAGCTTGTTCTTACAAGAAACGTTCGTCGTCGTCGACGGAAGAATCATCGTCATCTTCCAACAACGTTAACGATTCCGACGACGGTCCTCAAGAGAAGTCATCGACGAAGTCAGTACAGGTATTAAGTCCAGAAATGGAACCAAAATTTGTTGTGATTATGCCTGGAGATTACAATCCTACGTGGTTAGCCAAGCCCACCATGCCTATTCGTCAAGGTCCTGACCAAGTTTGAGTCATTTAATTCTTTTCTTATAGTGTTCTTTCTTTTTTTCCAATAGTTTTTGAGCTGGAATGAGGTAGAAAGTAGGAGTAAGAGATGATATGGGACGGAAATGATGGAGAGTAAGTTACAGCAACTAATATGTAACTACATTTACCAACAAAAAAAAAAGGGAAAAAACTACAAACCGTGAACAATATTTTTTGGTTCAACTTCTTGTCTTCGTATTTTTGGGTTTTTGACACTGATGAATCTGAATCAATGAGTACGTGGAGAAATCGGAAGTTAATAATATTTCTCTGTTAATTATCGATTGATATATATATATATATATATAAGGGTTAATTGTTTACATTTGTAACCAGAGTGGATTCTTGATTACGATGTTAATTAGGTTAGCAAGCGAAGCTTTAGAGCTTTCGAGGCGAACTCCAATAATTATGAGGAGTTAATATTTGAGGCAACTATTGCTTCCACAATAAATTGCCAAAAAGACCAGGACCCCAGAAAATTAACGAAGGAACAACATAAACATAAACACGAGAATTCTCCTAAATTAATTTGCTGTTTTCTTTACGCGCACTGTCATTTAAATATACGTTTAAATAAAGTAGAACAGAGACATAAAGTACTAATGTATTATGACTTGTCGTGAGCACTATCCTCGTATTGGAATTGGGAAGAAGGATTCCTGCTGCGTGAATTTCGGGGTTCTTACAGCATATCATATTAAGTACTGTAAAACAAATTCCATGTGCAAAACATATCATATACTTAGTACCTATTTCATTAGTAGAAATATTGAATGGGGGTAAAAAGTTTACCTTTTTGTTTACCATTTTTTTTCCCTTTTATTCGTTGATTACGATATAGATAATGTTCATAAGTGAAATATCTTGGGAAAGTTACGAAGCGAACTTTTGATAATACCATTAACGTGACGCATGTTTTAAGGTTATAGCAAATTATGTGACGGAGTGGAGTGTTGGACTTAATGACATTAAGCAAAGGTTTCGTGCAATTAACAGAAAGAGACTACTAAGCAAAGGTTGATGAAGAAAAGACATTTTTGTGCGTCAAGGGACTCATGATTAAAGCCTGTTACAAGAAGCAGCGGCCCCGGAAAATGATATTCATTAGATTTTGGTAAAATTTTATTGGGATGGCAATTTGAGCCCAAACACATTTAATCTGTCCATCGTCTACAGAGATTAATGGGTTGAGTTACAAATATTTTAGCTCATGGATCAATTTGGGCTGAGTCCAAGTTAACCCATTATATTTTATAGTCCACTATGACCTATTAAGCAACCCAAATACAACCCATAAAACTCACCAAAAACAAAANTTTTTCTGCACCATCCACCAGCCTAACCCCCCTCCCCTCTCCGCGCAATTTTTTTTTAACTTACACATTTTAAGGTAATAGTTTTTTTTTATGCAAGATGAGCATGGTTCTAAAACATGGATCAAGTTGGGCGGGTTGAGTTATGACACATTGTTTAGCCCATCTTGACCCAACCCATATTAGCCCAAGTACACTTTGGGCTGGGTTGAACAATGATCCATTTATTGATTTAAACCATCTTGACCTGCCAAAATTCAACCCAACTCGCCCATTTGCCACCCCTAAATCTTATATCAAATTATACGCACAAATATGCCATGTTTAAGTAATAAATTAAAGATATGCATATTAGGAGTAGTAATTAACAATTGTATTAGACACATAGTATTTGAGCTTAAGTTCTATACACTGGGTATGAATAAAAAATTATATAATCAAATCACTTTTTAGATAAGTATAAACAAATTTCCGGTAATCAAGTAAAAAATATTATAACCCAATTATAATTTGTTGGTGCTGTAAAATCATCATTGTTTGACTCAAAAGATGTTAAGATCTTTTCGAACAAATTAATCAAAGATGAAGGGGTAAATCATAGTCAAACTTAATTGATCCCAGATCGAGAGATTCATAATAATACATGTATAAGGGATGAAGAAAATATCAATGATCTCATTAAGAATCAATATCGCCTTCTTCCTCAGTCTTTGAGGAAAATGGATTACAATTGTTTTTTCTCTAGGATACAGGGATGGAGCTTTTGCTTCCCTTTTTTCCCTAGGTAAAACTCCCCTCCTTTATGAAAGCCTTCCTGGGCCATATATATAGTTGAAGCCTCTTCACCCCCACCACGACTTGGCGCGCTTGGGTCGGTGGTGCGTTCTGGTCGTGACTCTAGGCATTGCTCTTTTCGATACGTCGAATATCTTGGAAGAGAAATGTGTCACACCTCCTTTTTCCGCACCGCGAAGTGCGTAGGGAGTTTTTCCAATTAAAGGACAATC